ATACAAAGTTGTTATCCATGACAATCCATTAGTAGGTCATGTGTTTAGAGTTGTTTCTTTAGTTGTGAGAATGAAATACCATTCCCCATTAGTGACTTTAAAAAAAATAAATGTTTGTTGTTCAGATTATTAGAGTTGTTCCTCTTCCCCCTCATAATTACCCTCCACCCCATTCCCACCCTCTCTCTGCCCTTAAACACCCCCCCCCCCCCCACACACACACTGTCCTCATCCATAGGTGTATGATTTTTGACCAGTCTCTTCCCGGACCCCCATAACCCATTTGCCTTGGGAACTATCTCCCTTTCTATGCCCCTGATTCTATTATATTCACCAGTTTATTCTGTTCATTGAATTTTTTACTCATTTAATTTTTAGATTCACTTGTTGATAGATATGAATTTGTTGTCACTTTGTTGTTCATAATTTTTATCTTTAGCTTTTTATTCTTCTTCCTCTTCTTAAAGAATACCCTTCAGCATTTCATATAATACTGGTTTGGCAGTGATGAACTCCTTTAGCTTTTTCTTGTCTGTGAAGCCTTTTATCTGACCTCAATTATAAATTATACAATAGCTTTGCTGGGTAGAGTAATCTTGGTTGTAGGTTCTTGCTATTCATCACTTTGAATATGTCTTACCACTTCCATCTGGTCTGCATAGTTTCTGTTGAGAAATCAGCTGACAATTGTTTGGGTACTCCCTTGTAGGTAATTTACTGTTTTTCTCTTTTTGCTTTTAATATTATCTCTTTGTATTTTGCTCTTGGCATTTTAATTATGATGTGTCTTGGTGTGGTCCTCTTTGGATTTCTTTTGTTTGGGGTTCTGTGTGCTTCCAGGACTTGTAAGTTTATTTCTTTCACCAGGTAGGGAAAGTTTTCTGTCATTGTTTCTCCAAATTGGTTTTCATTATCTGCTCTCTCTCTTTTCTTCTGGAACCTCCATAATTGAGATATTGGTACACTTGAAGTTGTCCCTGAGGCTCCTAACACTATCTTAATATTTTTGGATTCTTTTTTCTTTTCCAGTTGGGTGTTTTTTGTTTCTTTGTATATGAAATATTTGACTTGATTATTGGTATCCTCTAGTTTGTTTCTGGATCTCTGTATATTATTATTTATTTCAGTCAGTGTATGCTTAATTTCTGATTGGTCCTTTTTCATATCCTTTAGGGTCTAACTAAATTTCTTGAAGGTTTCTAGAAGATTCTTGAGTAACTTTATAACTGTGTTTTTGAACTCTATATCTAGTAGTTTGCTTTCCTCCATTTCTGTCATTTGTGACCTGTTTCTTTGTCTATGCATTTTGGCTGCTTCCCTGTGTTGATAGAGTGGCTGTGTGAGCTAGGTGTCCTATAGGGCTGAGTGGCTCAGCCTCCCCAATTACCTTAGGTGGACATTTTTGGTGCACCCCTTTGTGGGCTGTGTGCACAGTCTTGTTGTAGTTATGCTTTGATTGTTGTTTTTATCACTGGGAGGAATTGACCTCCAGACCGTTTGGCTGTGAGGATCAGTTGTGTCTGCGATGGGAGAACTTCTGTGCTGGAGACATCCTTATGGGGCAAGACTTGCTTCAGTAGGGCATCGGTGCTCACCGAGTCTGCCCCTTGAGTGTGTCTCTTATGAATCTGAAGAGTTGTAATCTGGATGATCTCACTGTCTACTGGGTACTGGCTCATAGATCTCCAAGGAGGTGCAATATCAGCCACTGCCTGAGGCAACCCAGCAGGAGCTACCGAGAGATCTGCAGATTCCTCCTCTTTTTTGGGGGTTTGGAGATACCCAGATGAGGCCCAGTTGTGAAGGAATAGAAGCTGCTGTCAAGCCTTGGGCCTTCTTTTGCAAGCTCTGGGCTCTCTGATCCAGCTGCAGTATGTTAGGTTTCAGACTGCAAAGTGCCAGGCCATTCACATGCAAAAGCCTCTATGCTTAGCTTGGATGGGGTTGAAAATTGGGTGGAGTGGAGAATCACCAGGGGAGAGAAAACAATGGCTGCCTGTCAACCCTGTCCCAAAGAAGTCCCTGGGTCTCTGTGTCCTGTGGCACTGTGCAGGTACAGTGATCGCTGCAAGCACTTCTGAAAGAAATCTGCCCTCACATTCTGGCCTGATGCAACATAGTCCAGTTTCTCCCTGTATGAGTCTGGGTCTCCAGAGTCTTACCTGAAACTAGAGTTCAGAGCAGTTGGAAGCTTGGTATCCCTCCTAATTGAAAAAGACAAGAGTGTACTCAGTTGCCAGACCCTTTCTGTGGGTGCCTCCATACCCGTGCACTTCACTTCTGTGCCTCTGCACCTCCTCCAAGTCTCATCGTGCTTTTCTCTTTCCTTCTAGTTGTATAATTTCCACTCAACCAGCCTTCCCGTGGTTCTGAATGATATTTGTTTTGTCTTTTAGTTGTAGTTTTGAAGTGCTTGTGTGAGGCAGCAAGTTCAGGTGTTTACCTATGCAGCCATCTTGGTTTCTCCCCCATTAGTGACTTAATATATTTCACTAGATGCCTGGTGCACGGAATTCATGCACTTGGGGGGAGGGGTGTCCCTCAGCCCAGCTTGAGCATTCTCATAGTCTGGGAGCCCTTGAGGGATGTCTAACTGATGGTTTATGCCAGCTCCCCACTAAGCTGGCAGTTGGACATCCTTAGTGCTGCCACAGAGGTGGGAGAGGCTCCTACCACCACCTGTCATGAGCCTGGCTTCTAGCTGAGTGGTGCTCCCCCTGTGGGAGCACACTGACCACCAGGGGGCAGTTCTTACATTGAGCATCTGCCCCCTGGTGGTCAGTGTGCATCATAGTGACTGGTTGTTTAGCTGTTTGGTCCATTTGCATATTTTATTATATAGGATTGACTTTTTATAGAGAGGAAGGGAGAGGGATAGAGCGTTAGAAACATCAATGAGAGAGAAACATTAATCAGCTGCCTCCTGAACACCCTCTACTGGGGATGTGCCCATGACCAGAATTGAACCTGGGAATGTGCCCACAATCAAGGTACATGCCCTTAACTGGAATCAAACCTAGGACCCTTCAGTCTGCAGGCTGACACTCTATCCACTGAGCCAAACAGGCTAGGGCCCCATTAGTGACTTTTGACTCATTCTTGGAAGATGGTTGACTGGAGTTAAAATGTAAATGATAGCCCTTCTGGTGTGGCTCAGTGGTTGAGCATCGACCTATACACCAAGATGTCACTGCTTTGATTCCCAGTCAGGGCACATGTCCAGGTTGCAGGCTTGATCCCCAGCCGGGGGGGGGGGGGGGGGGGGGGGGGCAGAAGTCAGCTGATTGCTGTTACTTTCTACCTCTCCAGTCCTCTCTCTCTCTGAAAATCAACAACAATATATTTTAAGAAATGTAAATGATGGGAGAAAAGACAATAAATCTTAGTATCTTAAGCAGCAAAATCCAGTAATCAAAATTATCTGGGTCTAAAGATAGTAGAATATGTCAGTAGCATGTCAGAGTATTCCTATATAAAAGTATAGGAAAGTGTTGGTCTAGTATTTTTTAAGCTTTAGCCCTAGATGCCTTGATGGGTACATGATAATATAAATAAAGGCATCCTGGAAAAATTATCAGACAAAATAAATAAGCTTGAGAAAAATATAAATAAAACCCCTTGCTTTTTGTAGATTTGTGAAAAAATAAATAAAAAAGAAACTCAACTTCTGCTGGCAAAGTATTTGTCCTAAATGAAGAAAACCATTGTAGTGCAGAGGGGCAGAGAAACTTAAATTCTATTTTGCACCAGAGGTATGTAATCAAATTTTCCTTTTTCTGAGCATTGAGAATGTGATACCAGGTAACGTTATTTAATAACTGTTTTAATCTCTGCATTGTTTTTAAATCCCAGTAAGTGCCATTTGGATATACTACTAGGGGAAATGGTGGGTAGGCTGTTGAAAACCTGCAGCAGAGTTTCTCTTTTATTTTTAACTTTTATTTATTTATTTATTTGTTTATTTATTTATTTATTTTTCAGAGTTTCTCTTTTATTTGTTGAATATTCCTCCTGGTGCCTGATCTCTATCAAGTTTAGCGGCACTTTTATCACCTAACAAATGGAGCTTCCTGACCTAACACAGTGACATTTCAGATATCTCAGGAACAATGAACAATCAAATATGGTAAAGGTTTGCTACTGTTTAACAATTCAAAAGAAGAAACAATTTAAGTGTTTCTGGCAAGCTGACATTTCTTGTAAATGGTGCTAAGAGAAAACTGGAGTGCTGCCATTGGCCATTTAACTGTAATCAAGATTATATAACATGTAAACCCAGAAGGCTTCCAAAATACAATTAAAGGTTTCTTGGCTGTTTGTGCCATTTTATCCTGTAATTTGTGCTGTTTATAATTGCTCTTTATATCTACTAATGACTTACTGTGGACATTCTCCTAAAATTCAATATACAGCTTACTTTTTTTCTTTCAATTTTATTTTTTATTACAGTTTCCATTCAATATTATTTTGTATTAGTTTCAGATTTATAGCATAGCTGTTAGACAAGCATAAATATTTCAAAGTATTCCCCCAATATTTCAGAACCTAGCTGGAACTATATAAAGATATTACAATTTTATTGACTATTAGAAGCCCAGTGCACAGATTTGTGCACCAGTGGGGTCCCTAGGCCTGGACTGTGGGGATTAGGCCAAAACAGGCTCTCTGACATCCTCTGAGGGGTCCCAGATTGTGAGAGGTTGCAGGCTAGGCAGAGGGACCGCACTGGTGCATGATCAGGGCCGGGGAAGGGACCACAGGAGGACTCTGGCCCATCTTGCCCAGTCCTGATGGGCCAGACCCCAGCAGCAAGCTAACCTACTGGATGGAATGTCTGCCCCCTGGTGGTCAGTGCATGTCATACTGACTGGTTGAATGATTGACCAGTCAGTTATATTAGGCTTTTATTATGTAGGATAATCTCTACATCCCATAACTACTTTGTAACTACCAACTTGTATTTCTTAATCCCTTAACATTTTTCACACTGTCACCCAAACCCCTCCTGACTGGAAACCATCAGTTTGATCTTTATATGCATATGTTTCAAACTTGTTCATTTTGTATTTTTAAAAATTAAATTTAATTGGGGTAATATTGGTGAATAGGATTATATAGATTTCAAGTATACCTTTCTCTGATACAAATCTGTATATTGCATTTTGTGCCCACTACCCCATATCAAACCATCCTCTATCACCATATACTGGGACCCCTGCAATCCCCCGCTCCCAACCCTATCTCCTTCCCTTTGGTAACCAGCACATGGTTGTCTGTGTTCTTGAGTTTCAGTTGTATATCTCCCATATGAGTGAAGCCACATGGTTCTTAGCTTTTCCTGATTGACTTCTCTTAGCATAATATTCTCAAGGTCAATCCATGTTGTCGCAAATGGCAATATTTCATCTTTTCTTATGGCTAAGTAGTATTCCATTGTATATATGTACCACATCTTCTTTATCCAATCGTTTTATTGAAGGACACTTTGGTTGTTTCCATGTGTTGGTCACTGTGAATAAAACTGCAAAGAACATAGTGGTGCATATATCTTTGCAAGTAAACATGTTTAAGTTTTTGGGTAGAAACCCAGGAGAGGGATTGTTGGGTCACGTAGTAATTCTAGTATTAATTTTATGAGGAATGGCCAGACTGTTTTCCATAGTGGCTGTATCAGTCTGTATTCCCACCAGCAGTGAATGAGGGTTTCCTTTTCTCCACAACCTCACCAGCACTTGTTATTGTCATGCTGATAATAGCCATTTTAACAGGCATGAGGTGATATCACATTGTAGATTTGATTTGCATTTCCCTAATAGCTAGTGAAGTTGAACATCTTTTCATATAACTATTGGCAGTTTGTATGTCTTCTTGGGAGAGGTGTCTGTTCATCTCCTCTGCCCATTTGTAAATAGGATTGTTTGCTTGTTTGGTGTTGAGTTGTATGAGTTCTTTACTTATTTTGGATATTAAGCCTTTGTCTGAGCTGTTATTTGCAAATATATTCTCCCATTTGGTCTGTTGCCTTTTTGTTTTGCTGTTGTTTTTATGTGCAGAAACTTTTTAGTTTGATATAGTCCCATTTATTTTGCCTCTATTTCCCTTGTCTTAGGAGTCAAATTCATAAAATGTCTGCAAACAAATGCCTATTTTTTCTTTTCTTTAAAACAATATATTTTCTTGACTTTTTACAGAGAGGAAGGGAGAAGGATATAGAGTTAGAAACATCAATGAGAGAGAAAATTTCATCAGCCACCTCCTGCATAACCCCCGCCCCCCAGGGATGTTCCTATAACCAAGGTACATGCTCTTGACCAGAATCGAACCTGGGACCACTCAGTCTGCAGGCAAAGCCAGCCAGGGCTATGTTTTCTTTTATGTAATTTATTGTTTCAGATTTATATTTAGGTGTCAGATCCATTTTGAATGAATTTTTTACACACAGGGACAAGCTGTAATCAGTTTTGTTCTTTTGAGATTCCACATATTAGTGAAATAATTTGATAATTGCCTTTCTCTGACTAACTTATTTAATTGAGCATAATACCTCCTAGGTCCATACATGCTGTCACATATTTTATTATATTTTATAACTGAGTGATATTGCATTGTATTGGATATATATGTACCAAAATTTTTTATTCACTCTCTATTGATGGACATTTGGGTTGCTTCCATATCTCGGGTAATGTAATAATGCTGCAATGAACACAGGGATGCACATATTCTTTCAAATTACTATTTTGGGTTTTTGGATATATACCCAGAAGTGGAATCATTGGGTCATAAAGCTATCCCACTTCACATATTTTGAATACCCTCCATAATGTTTCCCATAGGGGTGGTAGAAGTCTTTATTCCTACAAATAGCGCACAAGGGTTCCCTTTTCTCCACATTCTCGACAACATTTTGGTTTGCTGATTTATTGATGATAGTCATTCTGACAAGTTTGAGGTAATATGTCATTGTGGTTTTAACTTGCATTTCTTTAATGATTAGTAACATTGAGCATTTTTCACATGCCTATTGGCTATCTATAGATCCTCTTTGAAGAAATGTCTATTCAGGCCCTCTGTTCTTTCTGTGTTTTGTTAATCCTCACTGAGGGTATTTTTTCCATTGATTTATAGAGAAAATGGAAGGGAGGGAGGGAGAGAGAATGAGAAAGAAAGAGGAAAGAGAGAGGGAGAGAGATCAATGTGAGAGAGACACATTAATTAATTGCCACCAGCATGTGCCCTGACCGAACCGACAACACAGATATATGCTCTTGACTTGGGAATCAAACCAGTGATCTTTTAGTGCACAGTCCGCTACTCTAACCACTGAGGACACCAGCCATGTAAATACTTCCAAATTTGTTCTTCTTTCACAAAATTAATGCAGCTCTTTGGGTCTTTTATGGTTCCATATAAATTTTTGGATTATTTATACTAATTCTGTGAAATATGTTATGGTTATTTTGATAGAATTGCATTGAATGTATTGATTGCTTTGGGTAGTATGGATATATCATTGATGTTAATTATTTCTATCCTTTAGCACAGAATGTAATTTTTTGAGTATAAGACTTTCACTTCTTTCATTAAATTTATTCCTAGGTTGTTGTTGTTGTTGTTGTTGTATGTGTGTGTGTGTGTTTTCCTTGTTCATTTTGTTCATTAGATTCTAAGTATATGTGAAATCATATGGTACTATACTTGTCTTTTTCTGTCTGGCCTATTTCACTTAGCATAATGCTCTCTCAGTTCATTCATGTCGAAAGGGATAGATTTCCTACTTAGTATTCTACTGTGTACACTTCTTTGGTTAAATTTATTTCTAGGTATTTTATTTTTTATGATGCAGTTGTAAATAGGATTGCTTTCTCAGTTTTCAAATTTAAATACTTTATTGTTTAAAGTACTACATATGTCTCATTTTTCCCCATTGACCTCTCCCCGGCCACTCCTACCCCTCAGCACATGCCCTCACCACCCTACTGTCTGTATCCATTGTTATGTTTATATGCATGTATACAAGTCCTTTGGTTGATTTCTTGAACCCCCCTTCCCTGACTTCCCTATGAGGTTAGATGGTTTGCTCGACGCTTATATGTCTCTGGAACTATTTAATTTTTTTTTCTTTATTGATTAAGGTATTACAAATGTTTCCGTATCCCCCCTTACATCCCTCATTTCTTCGTTCATGCCCTTGCCCCCTGGTGTCTGTGTCCATTGGTTAGGCTTATATGCATGCATAGAAGTCCTTTGGTTGATCTCTCCCCCTTACCCCACCCTCCCCTACCTTCCCACTGAGGTTTGAGGGTCTGATTCATGCCTCTATGTCTCTGTTTTTGTTCATCAGTTTATGTTGTTCATCATATTCCACAAATGAGTGAGATCATGTGATATTTAGCTACCTCTGACTAGCTTATTTCACTTAACATAATGCTAGCCAGTTCCATCCATGCTGTTGTAAATGATAGAGTTCCTTCTTTTTTATAGCAATGTAATATACAACTGTGTAAATATACCAGTTTTTTTTAATCACTCATCTGCTGATGGGCACTTAGGCTGTTTACAAATCTTAGCTATTGTAAATCATGCTGCTATTAACATAGGGCTACATATATCCTTTCTATTGGGTGTTTCTGATTTGGGGGGGTATATTCCTAGAAGTGGTATTATTGGGTCAAATGGAAGTTCCATTTTTAATTTTTTGAGGAAAATATATACTGTTCTCCACAGTGGCTGCGCCAGTCTGCATTCCCACCAGCAGTGCACAAGGGTTCCTTTTTCTTCACATTTTTGCCAGCACTTGTTTGTTGCTGATAGCCATTCTGACGGGTGTGAGATGGTACCTCATTGGTGTTTTGATTTGCATCTCTCAGATGATTAGTGACTTTGAGCATGTTTTCATATGTCTCTTGGTTTTCTGTACGTACTCTTTCAAAAGGGGTCTATTTAGGTCCTTTGTACATTTTTTGATTTGATTGTTTATTTTCCTTATGTTAAGTTGTATGAGTTTCCTATAAATTTTGGAGATTAAAACCTTACCAGATATAACATTTGCAAATATGTACTCCCATGTTATGGGCTCTTTCATTGTTTCATTGGCGGTTTCTTTTGCTGTGTAGAAGCTTTTTATTTTGGTGTAGTCTATTTGTTTATATTCTCCATAGTTTCCATTGTCCTAGGAGCTGTATTAGTAAAGATAAATATATATATACAACATATGTCTGATATTTGGTTGCCTCTGGATTATTCTAAAATATTTATGCTTTCCCATCTTATGTTTAAGTGCTTTATCAATTTTGAGTTTATTTTTGTGTACGGTGTAAGTTGATAGTTAGTTTTATATTTTTGCATGTATCTGTCAAATTTTCCCAACAACATTGGTTGAAGAGACTGTCTTGACTTAATTGTATGCTCTTGCCTCCCTTGTCAAATATTAATTGAGCATAGTGGTTTGGGTTGATTTTTGGGTTCTTTGTTCTGCTCCATTGCTATATGTTTGTTCTTGTGCCAGTACCAGGTAGTTTTGAGAACAGTGGCTTTGTAATACAGCTTCATATTGCCGAATTCATTTATTAAGTCTAATAATTTTTCAGTGGAGCCTTTAGGGTTTTATATGTACAGTATCATGTCATCTGCAAATAAGGACAGTTTTACATCTTCTTTTCTAATTTGGATACTTTTAATTCTTCTTCTAGTCTAATTGATATGGCTAGCACTTCCAGAACTATGTCAAACAGGAGTGGTAGGAATAGTTTTAGTTTTGGCCCATTAGGTATGATGTTGACTGTAGGTTTGTGATATAAGGCTTTTATTACATTGAGGTATGACCCCTCTATTCCCATTTTGCTGAGTTTTTTTTTTTAATCAATAAAGGCTGTTGAATTTCGTCAAATGCTTTTTCTGTATCAATTGATATGACTATGTGATTTTTATCTCTCAATTTGTTTATGTGATGTATCACGTTTATTGATTTGTGGATATTTTACCATCTTTACATCCTTGGGATAAATCCTACTTTGTCATGGTGTTTGATCTTTCTGATATACTGCTGGATCCTATTTGCTAGAATTTTGTTGATGATTTTGGCATCTATATTTGTGAGGGATATTGGCCAGTAATTCTATTTCTTTGTGTTTTCTTTATCTGGTTTTGGGGTTAGGGTAATGCTGGCTTCCTAGAAAAAACTTCGTAGTATTCCTTCCTCTTGAATTTTTTGGAATAGTCTGAGGGGGATAGGTTTAATCAGGCATCTTCAAACTACGGCCCGCGGGCCACATACGGCCCGCAGAGGAGTCTGATCCAGCCTGCCAGGTTTTTTGGGCAGTGAGCGCAGCCGAGGTGTTACAGTAGGAATTAGTAGTTCATATAGTCTGGCCCTCCAGCTCTCTGAGGGACAGTGATCTGGCCCCCACTTTAAAAAGTTTGAGGATGCCTGGTTAATTCTTCATCGAATGTTTGTTAAAACTTCCTTGTGAAGCCGCCTAGCCCTGGGTTTTTGCTTACTGAAAGCTTCTTGATGACTGCTTCAATTTCTTCCATAGTTATTGTCCTATTGAGCTTTTCAAATTTTTCCTTATTGAGTTTTGGAAGGTTGTATTTTTCTAGGAATTTGTCCATTTCATCCATGTTGTCTATTTTGTTGAAATAGAGTTGTTTATTGTATTTTTTTTAACAATCCTTTCTATTTCTGTTGGGTCTGTTGTTGTTTTGTCTCTTTTTTTTTTTTTGAGTCCTCTCTCTTTGCTTCTTGGTGAGCCTCATCAATCTTGTTCATCCTTTCAAAGAACCAGCTCTTGGTTTAATTGATTTTTTGTATTGTTTTATTGTTCTCTATGTCATTTATTTATGCTCTGATCTTTATTATCTCCTTCCTTCTATTTAAATATATTTAAAATATATTTAAAAAATATATATATTTTAAAATATATTTTATTAATTTTTCTTACAGAGAGGATGGGAGAGGGATAGAGAACTAGAAACGTCGATGAGAGAGAAACATCGACTAGCTGCCTCTTGCAAACCCCCTACCGGGGATGTGTCCGCAACCAATGTACATGCCCTTGACCGGAATCGAACCCGGGACCCTTCAGTCTGCAGACCGACGCTCTACCGCCGAGCCAAACCGGTTTCGGCTAAATATATATTTTATTAATTTTTTACAGAGAGGAAGAGTGGGGGATAGAGAGTTAGAAACATCGATGAGAGAGAAACAGCAATCAGCTGCCTCTTGCATACCCCCTACTGGGGATGTGCCTGCAACCAAGGTACATTCCCTTGACCGGAATCGAACCCGGGACCTTTCAGTCCGCAGGCCGATGCTCTATCCACTGAGCCAAAGCGGTTTCGGCACTCTGGATTTTTTTTGTTGCTATCTTTCTAATTCTTTAAGTTGTGTTGTTAGCTGATTTACTACAATTTTTTCTTGTTTTTGAGGTAGGCTTGTAGGGCTATAAACTTCCCTCTCAAGACTGATTTCATTGTGTTCCATAGATTTTTGGATTGTTGTGTTTTCATTGTTATTCAGTTCCAAGAGGTTTTTAATTTCTTCTTTGATCTCTTTGGTAACCCAATCATTGTTTAATAGCATGCTATTCAACTTCCCCATGTTTGAAATTTTTTTATTGCTTTTATTGTATTTTATTTTATTTCTAATATTATGTCATTATGGTCTGAGAAGATGCTTGATATGATTTCAATCTTCTTGAATTTGAGGAGACTTTTCTTGTGACCCAATATGTGGTCTATTATTGAAAATGTCTTATGTACACTTGAGAAGAACATATATTCCATGGCTTTGGTGAAATGTTTTGAAGATATCAATTAATTCTATCTGATCTAGTAAGTCATTTAGAATTTCTGTTTCTTTGCTGATTTTTTTGTCTAGAGAATTTATTCAGTGATGTCAGTGGGGTATTAAAGTCCCCTATTATGACTGAATTATTGTCAGTCTCTAACTTGATATCTTCCAGGAGGTATTTATTTATTTATTTATTTATTTAATGCATTTGGGTGTTCCTGCATTGGGTGCATATATGTTTACCATGGTTTTATCATCTTGTTGTATTATCAATCGCTTTAGTATTATGAAGTGGCCTTCCTTATTTCTTGTTATGACCTTCACTGTGAGGTCTATTTTGTCTATTTTGTCAGATATAAGTATTTATACCCCAAGGTTTTTTTTTTTTTTTGTGTGTGTGTGTGTGTGTGTGTGTGTGTGTGTGTGTGTTTCATTTCAATCTGCCTGAAAAATATTTTTCCATCCCTTCACTTTCAGTCTGGGTGAGTCCCTTGTTTTGAGGTGGGTCTCTTATGGACAGCATATATGTGGGTCATGTTTTTTTTTTTTTCCCCCATTCAGCCACTTGATGTCTTTTGATTGGATTATTTAGTCTGTTTATGTTTAAAGGTTTTATTGATAGAGACTTGTTTGTAGCCATTTTTATTTTTTGTGCCTGTGTTCCTTCTTCCCTTTTTATTTCTTTTTTACATCAGTCACTTTAGCATTTCTTGCATTGCTGGCTTGGTAGTGATAAACTCCCTTAGCATTTTTTTTTTCCTGTGAAGCTCCTTATTTCCCCTTCAATTTTGAATGATAGCCTTGCTGGATAGCATATTCTTGGATTCAGTCCCTTGCTTTGCATCACTTTGTAAATTTCCTTCCATACTTTTCTGGCCTGATGTGTTTCTGTTGAGAAATCATTTGATAATGTATTGGTAGATCCCTTACACTTAACTTCTGTCTGTATCTTATAGTCTTTAAGTTTCTCTCTTTGTCCTGAGCATTTGCCATCATAATTATTTTGTGACTTGATGTGGGTCTTTTTGGGTTCATCTTGCTTGAGACTCTATGTGCTTGTCTGACTTTTTTTCTTTCCAACATCAGGGAAGTTTTCTGAAATTATTTCTTCAAATAGGTTTTCTAACACTTGTTCCTTTTCCTGTCGTTCTGGCACTCCTATTATTCATATGTTGCTTCAGTTTATGTTGTTGTATAGCTCCCTTATGTTATCCTCTTGTCTTTTAATTTATTTTTCCAATTGCAGTTCATTTTGGGTGTGTTTTGCTTCCCTGTCTTCTAATTTACTAATTTGGTTCTCTGCATCTCCTAGTCTACTGTTGAAACTTTCCATGGTGTTTTTCATTGAAGCCATTTCACTCTTTATTTCTCCTTGATTATTACATAAGTTGTTGTTTTCATCCATCTGGTTTATTAACTGTATGACCATTTTTTTCTGACATATTGCATGCCTCTGTTTCATATAGCTGCTTTTCTGGCGATCCCTCCATTTCTTTCCTTTGGGGGTTTCTTTGTTTCTCCTTTTTACTCTGGCCAAATTAGGTGTTGAGTCATGCAAGGGTTGCTCCTCAAGTGACAGCAGCTCCTCATGCAGTGGCTGCTCCTCAGTTGTCAGCAGCTCCTCTGGTGGTCGCTGCTTACAGCACTGGTGGCTCCTCTGGCTGGTGAGTCAAGCTGCTCACATAGCTGCTGCTTCTCGGATGGGGGCAGGCTGCTCACAAGGATGCTGTTCCTTGAATGGGGGTAGGCTGCACACAACTGCTGCTCCTCGGGAGCAGGCATGACTGGTGGCTCTGGGCCCAGCAGTGGGTGCAAGCAGCAGTTGTTGTCCCAGACTGCCCCTCAGGAGGAGGGGGAGGCTGAATAGCCCTGAGAGGTGATCAGGGCTGGCAGCCACCACTCACATCTGCTGATGGAGCTGAGGAAGCAAGGCTGGCAATGGGCACTAGCAGCGGGTGCAAGCGAGGCCAGTGCCAAAAGCATGTGCAAGCACCAGTCATGACCATGGCTTGCAGTAGCAAAGAATTTTCAGTAACTACCAGAGGCTCTCCCCAATGATAGCGACTGGCACCTGCCTTAGTCTGGAGCCCCTGATCCACCACCCCACTGCAGCCGATGCCCACGATGTTCCATGCTCTGCTGCCTGCACTGGGAGGAATTGACCTCCAGGCCAATTGGCTGTGAAGACAATCAATCTGTGTGTCATAGTGACTGGTTGTTTGTTTGGCCATTTGGTCTATATATATATATGTGTGTGTGTGTGTGTGTTTGTGTGTGCGCGCGCGCACACGCATGCTTTCTTGACATCACCCATCATTTAAGAATTTTCATCCTATGTTCCATCTCTTTACAATATTACTCTCAACTAGAAAGTAACTGGTTTCAGGTTCTTAATTTCTGAAATAAATCTCAGTGTGTAATGTGTGTTATCTTCTATGGTTAGGTAGATGATCTCATAGCTTATTCATCAAAGAAAGGTGTGTTTACTAGTAGCTGGGAAGATATACAGGCAATGTAATAAAACTTTTAACCCTTTGCAAAAAAATCATTCAACAAAGCTTAATTGTGAGGAACCAAGATGAAGGCATAGGTAAATACCTGTACTTGCTGCCTCTCATAACCACATCAAAACTACAACTAAAAGACAAAACAGCTATCATCCAGAACCAGAGGAAAACTGTCTGAGTGGAAATTCTACAACTAGGAGGAAAGAAAAAAGCACCTTGAGACTGGTAGAAAGTGCAAAGGTGTAGAGGTATGGAGGCGTGCACAAAACTGGCTGGCATCTGGGTGCACTGTTGTTGTTTTTTCAATCGGGAGGGAGATACAAGCTCCAGATTGCTCTGAACTCCATTTCCAGGCAAGACTATGGGTACACAGACTCATATGGGGAGAAACTAGAGTGTCTGGCACTGGGCCAGAACACTAGGGCAGTGTTCTCTCAGAGTTGCTAGCAGCAATCATTGTTCCTGCATTGGGACACAGGGTGCAGAGATGTGGAGATGTGGAGATGGCTGACTGGCAGCCATTGCTGTTTGCTCATCCCTGGTGATTTTCTGAGATCTAGCCCCACCCAATTTATAACCCCACCCGAACTATGCACAGTGGCTTTTTCATATGAATGGCCTGGCCTTTCTCAGCTTAACTTAACAAACTGCATCTGGGTCAAAGAGCTCAAAAGCTTCCAAAAGAAGGGGCAAGGCTCTTGGCAGTAGTAGCCTGCCTTGCTTCACAGCTGAGCCTCATCTGGACACTTCCAAACCCCAAGCAAAGAGGAGGAATCTGAATATCTCATTTTTTTTAAAGTGAAAGAATTAAAATATATATATATTTTATTGAATTTTCACAGAGAGGAAGAGAGAGGGATAGAGAGTTAGAAACATCGATGAGAGAGAATCATCGATCAGCTGCCTCTTGCACACCCCCTACTGGGAATGTGCCCACAACCAAGGTACCCCCTGACTGGAATTGAACCTAGGACCTTTCAGTCCGCAGGCCGATGCTCTATCCACTGAGCCAAACCGGTTTTGGCTGAAGATCTCATAGTAGCTCCTGCTGGGTGGCCTCAGGCAGTGGTTGACTTTGCATCTCCTTGGAGACCCAAGAGCCAGTGTACCCAGTGGTCAGTGTTAGAACACATAGATTACAACTTTTCACATCCATAAGTGACACATGCAAGGGACAGACTCAGTGAGCACCAAAGCCACACTAAAGCAAGTCCTGCCCCATAAGGGTGTTTCCTGCATATCAGTTTTTCCATTGTAGACACAGATTGTCTTCACAGCCAATTGTCCTGGAGGTCAATTCCTCCCAGTGATACCAACAACAATCAAAGCTTAACTGCAACAATATTGTGCACACAGCACACAAAGAAGTGCACCTAGAGTGTCCAGCTCAGGTGACTGGGGAGGCTGAGCCACTGGGCCCCATCGGACACCTAGCACACAAGGTCACTCTCTCAACACAGGGAAGCAGCCAAAATGCAGAGACAAAGAAACAGGTCACAAATGACAGAAATGGAGGAAAGCAAACTGACTACTAGAGTTCAAAACCACAGTTATAAGGTTACTCAAGAATCCTTTAGAAACCTCCAAGGAACTTAGTGAGACCTTCAAAGATCTTGGTGATAATGCAAAAAAAAAAAAAAAAAAAAAAAAGAGTGGATGGACAATTCTTGGGGGGAAGGGGGTGTGGGGGTGCGGGAAGAGTTTGGATAAAAATCTTACACCTATGGATGAGGACAGTGGCATGTGCTACGGTGGGAATCAGTTGAGGGGATTTATAGGGATAAAAAAAGGAATATTTATAATAATCTGAACAATAAAGACATATTTAAAAAAACAAAAACTGAATACTTAATTGTACAAAGCATAATTGTTCTTATGTCAATTTTCCAGATGAGGAAACTGAGGCTTAGTCCAATGATAATACTTCCCAGAAGTGGCCTGATTGCATCAGAGAACCTATTATAGGTCTGTTTTTAATCCAGTGTTACTTTTCTGCCTGTGCCTGATTATGACTTTAAATAACTTACAGTATATCATTAAAGAGTCATTTCTGTTAGGAATGTAAAGCATTTTTGGTCTTTTCAATTGCCCTATCAAATGATTAGTAGACGAGAGCACATCCTGTTATGGTCAACTAATTATTAGTAAGGATTAATTGACAACCCAATTGGAGCAAAAATCAATGAATGTGGAATATGTACCACAAAAGAGGTATACGTATACACATTTATCTATGTGTGTGTATGAGTACACTGTATGTATGTCTACTATCAAGGGAAGAAGTTGGTAACATCACAGAAGCAACCAGAGGAGCTAAACTGCACAGCTCATGGCGAAGTGTGCAAAGACACATATTTATTACCCTAGTAGATTTGTTGGATGACGATATTGCAGCTGCTGTCTGTGTGTCTGTGTATGACATTGAATCAGAAACTGCTGCAATTTAGAATAATTTTTGAAATTCCCTTCCATATCCTGGGTCTCAGCAGCCTTTTTTGACTTGTGTGTATATTCTATAGTCACAGTAGCCTGATTGCTCTGATACTTTTGTCACTCCATGATCTCTCAAATATAACCTGATTTTGAATGGAGAGATTAAGGTCCTAAGAGCAGGAAAGAAAAGGTCTATCCTTTATGCATTTACTATAATCCCCATATCCCACTTTGTGGTCTTATTTTTACTCCATTTCAGACTTCTAATGATTTTGTTTTTCCACCTCTACTCTTATGCAAGTCTTAGGCAAGTAGGACTTTGGTGAGAGTGATATTTTTGTAACTGACACTTTTATGCAACTGATTATTAGTTCCTTGGTTTCCTCTCTGGCAAACGAAGATAGTAGAGGGGTCTACATTCTGATGTTCTGTATCTTGGAAAGAGATACAAACCTCAGTCAATGGGGAAGAAAAGATGTGTATAGCAGGCAGAAGGACCCATATCTCCTCAAACCTGAAATCAAAACAGCTTTTTTTTCTTAATTTGTTTATTTCTGTCATAAAGCTTTGTAAGAAATGTACAGTCAGTCTCATGATTAAGATAAGCTCAAATGGGCTGAGGTCAGCTATGGGTCTTGCATAGCCTCTTTGATTCTGGGAAGGAAGAGGAAGAGGGTGGTGAAAACAACAATCACCCTTTGGTGATTATGAGAAATTTCTTCCTCTTGGCTGAGACTTTTGCTTTGACAAAGAAAAAACAAACCACAATATCTTTAATATATTCTAAAGGAAGTTTCAATCAAGTGCAAGGTGTGGGTTTTCTATTTTCTCTCTTAAAACTGGAACTGAAAACTATTTTCTGGTGATTAAATGGGACACTTTCTTTAAAAATGATGGCAATTACCTTAAGAGATGTTAGGAAGTTTAAAAGAGAACTTCTTGAACTCTATTAAAGAATTTAGATGTGTCTGTCAGATACATATTTAAAATAAACATCCTCAAACCTCCTAAATTAAATAAAAACTCCAAGGGATCCAATATGGTTTAATTAAAATGTACTTAACTTTAGTATATGTGCTACAGACCATGAAATAGGCCTAAATTTAAATATCACTTATTGAATAACTTGGCATAAAAGGTCACAGTACTTGGACATGCATTCCTTTATGAGGCAACTGAAAATTTTGTACAAAAACAAAATATATTTAGGCCTCATGAGATTTTGTTATGAAACTCAGGAATAAATCACACTCTGTATCAACTAGCCATTAATTTGATGATGAATAGAAAGGACAAATTAGGCTGGGACCGGTTTGGCTCAATGGATAGAACGTCGGCTTGGGGACTGAAGGGTCCCGGGTTCGATTCCGGTCAAGGGCATGTACCTTGGTTGCGGGCATATCCCCAGTGGGGGGTGTGCAAGAGGCAGCTGATCGATGACTCTCTCTCATCGATGTTTCTGGCTCTCTATCTCTCTCCCTTCCTCTCTGTATAAAATCAATAAAATATATTTTTTAAAAAAAGAAAGGACAAATTAGGAATAGTGAAAAATGAGAATAGTAAAAAACAATTTAGTGGAAATCATTACTAG